ACAGTAGTATAAACCCATTTATGGACATTAATTAGTTGTTTTACTACAAAACTATGACATATAATTAAATATAGTTAGAATTATAAATATTAATACAATATTATAATTTTTAGTAAGAAAATATTTTTTATTGATTTTATGTGATTATTAATTTAAGACAATATATATAATATAGTTACAGACAATATAAACAATAGATATATACTAATAAAATCAAAAACTTGATAATACTGGACATTGTTTTGTTGTTTATTATTTTTTAAATTMACAAATTGATTATTTTAATAYAGTCAACTAGATTATAAAAAGTTACTAAAACTTAGTATTTATATTTTACTTATAAAATTTATCATTGTTTTAATATTTCTAAAATATTATTATATTATATATATTTAAGATTTAACAAACAAAAACTATTTTTATATAATTTTTTTTGTTATACTTATAACAAATATATTAATAAAATACAACATTTGTTTATATATTTTGAATTAATATAATTACATTATCAGTAATATGCATGAAATTCTTGTTTATTTKAATGTTATAAAAATTAAATGAATTTATTGTTCATTTTTCTAAAATATAATTCAACAATCAATTTCAAATCACTGYGGATAATAAAAATTTGATGTAAATATATTTATAAAATTATAATTAAAATACAGTATAATATCTAAGGAAATAATATATTACTGTAGGTATGAAAATATCAATGATCACAATGTATTAATACTTATTATTTGCATTATTTTGATGATCAAAAACATTTATATAATATTAGATAAGTATTTAGACAATTTATAAAATAAGATAAATTATTTATAATTATATAAGTAGTCATTTATCATAATAAAATAAAAATAAGTAAAGGTATTATACTAATGTAATTTTTTGTTGATGAGTTATAATTATAATATATTATAATTCWCTTTATAATTTRTTTAATTTTGTTTAAATCACACAAWAWAACTATTTTTYCATTTAATCTTTACTATAATATTTATTYTCTGATTTTAAAAAACTTAAATTATTTTAGTTTATAAAAAGTATTAACTAAATGGATGTTTACTTATCGATCCTTAATTATAACTATTAAAATATAATATTTTGCAAATTTCATTGTRTCGTTTTTGTTTCAATTATATTGTCAACTGTGATAAGTTTGTTTGTTTTTTATCTTATAATAATAWTTTAGCCAATGATTAACTGCTTTCGTAGAAATATTTTTTTACATTTATTATAGTATAACKATATTTAAACATTTTTCGTTGTCTTACAATATTGTTGTAATGATAGTTGAATTTATGTTTGAAATATTGACATTTAATTGCAAATGTTTTTCGATATTTGTATGAAATAGCGATAATGATTATTGTAGTATTTTTGATGACCCTGTAGCTTTTTCTACATGTTTAAATAGCCTGTATAATTGATGTTGATTATTATTATTCATGATATTATATCTATTGTCGATTCACTATTGACTTAAAAATTAAAACTTTTATTGTACATTTATTGTAATGACAAAATAAATTATTATAAATTAAATATAATTAAATGAGTGTGTTAGTCTATGTTTTAGTACACAACCTTCATATTTGCTTTTATAATGACATTTAAASAAAAAATATTTGTAATATACAGTCATRTTATTAGTATAGATAACATCAATATCGCTACAAATATTTAAAATTTCACTAGTTTTTAATAAATTTCTACAACAAACAGTTTTTATATTATTTTTTAATTTATTGTTATCATCACTTAATTTATTACTAATTTTGCAGATTTTATCAGAATTTTTAGCAAAATTTTGAGATAAATTATTTAATTTTGTTAATTATTTTTGTATCAATTCTATCATTTCAGATATTGATAACATCATTAAAATATTATTATTTATATTATTAATTAAAATTCATTATTAAAATAAATGYATTAATACATTAAAAAAAAAATTAAAATAAAACTTATAGACAATAAGTCTCATAACTCATTGTTTTTATAAATCACGCCATAATGTAAGCACTTGTAGTTAAAATTACTATTTTATAGCAAATATATGATCCATTTCCTATTATTATAGCTTAACTCACATTCACTCATTAAATAATACACTTTTTGTTAATTAATATACAATAGATGAGTGCATMCAATATATAGTATATAAGTACTAAAATATTTTGGTTTAATGTATTTTATAATTTAAATGAGATTATTTTTTTAATGATTTTATTTTATATTTATATTCAAATTGAAAGCATTGACTTTTGTTTATTATTGTTACAAATTGTTGATAAATGTATAAATGTTAMWACAATTTAAATATAAAATATTTWWTTAAAAATGCTTTTAAATATACTACAGAATAAGATAATTACAAAAATATTTAAGATCTAATATTAATAAATTTTAGGTTACATTTAAAAATATTAATAAAATTTTACACACAGTTATAAATACTTTAATTAATATAATGAAATTTAAACTTTTTGATTATAAACTTTGTATAGTACAGTATCTACAGTAGTGTTTAAAATTGAAATAATGAAAAGAAATAAAAAACATATTTTATATAATATAAACCTATAAAAAATCAAATAATATCAACATTTTTGAACAATTAYTGATTTGATTGGACACGACTAAAGTCATTGATTACTGAAGGCATAGTTGGCTTAAATGATGGACAGTCGTCGGTCGTCGACTCAGTTGGACTGTCATTGCCATCGCTTTGATTGACATTAAACGGTACGTATGTATTGATGATTTCACGCAATTCCTCTTCAGTTAACAGTTTTTTATACAATACTTTTGATATTAAAACCTCACGTCTTCTTGACATTGGTCTCGACATTGTTTATTAGATTAAACAAAATGTATTTGATTTATAAAATTAAAAAATCACAACAATTTCATATAAAAAATATTTTATTCATTAGTAACACATTTTCATTTATAGTATATAATATTAAAAATATTTTTTATATATCAATAAATTATTAATTTTTAATGACTCACATGTATAATAAATTTATTTATTTATTTGATAAAATTGTAAAAGTTTGAATAATATTGAATTTCAATCATAATGTGTGTAATACGGTATTTAAAATACTACAGTAAAATACTCTAATATTAWTAATATATCTGATTTCATAAATGTTTAAGTTTATTATAAAGATTTTAGTAAYAATTAYAATTTCCTCTATTTGTTTGTTGTCTAACCAGCAATCATTTACAATAKTTGGCAACAAACAAATAGAGGAAATTGTAATTATTACTAAAATTTTTATAATTAATTTTATTCCTCTAATTAAAGTTAATATAAAAAAATAAATATTAAATTATAGCCAATAAATAACATATTTGTTTGATAAATTTTTTAAATAATTAATGAYTAATTTTTAGTATAGTWTATAAGTATTTAAATATTACAYGTGAGTTAAAAAATGTGTAAACTTRAAAAATTATATACTTATTTAGTTAATATTAATAATAAATTAAAMTGAAAAAAAATATTAAAAAWATATTAAATAATAATTGTTTGAAAACAATCAGCTAATTAGATGCCGTCGTTGATAATGTAATTTCAATTGAGCTTTTTGTGCAAACTTTTTGCGGCATTTCTTATCCATACAAATAAATTTCTTGATCTTTAAGTGGACGACATCCACATGTCTTTGTAAATTGACTTTTGATTTAAATGTTTTGTTGCAATCAATCAAATCGCATAYAAATTGTTTGTCACTTTGTTTGTCGATATCTTCATTTAGTTTGCATTGATTTTCATTTAAATTTGTTTTCACATTATTTGAAATGTTATTATCAGAAATTTTTACTTTGATTTTGTTTTCTGTATTATTATTATTATAATATCATTGYTGTTATTGTTATCAATAATATTTTYTYGATTTTCTTATAATTATTGATTATATTATTGGTCTCTTGTTTTGTTAACAACTTTTTACAGCACAATAGTTGTATCAAATCGTCACACATTTTAATATATAATTTTTTAACTACTGTCTCGTTGTGTTTAAAATATTCAAATAATTTATACGGAATATATAACTTTTTKGATATATATTTAATATATATAATTAATAATTAAAATTTTTAAAACTTAGTTTAGTGTTAAAAATATATTATAAATGTTTTGTCAAACAATGAATATACAGTATATAAATGTTGTTAATATTAGAGTATAAACATACGACATATTGAAAGCTCGGTTATCTCCAGTGGGCAGTTCCCTTCAGTTACTACAATACAATATGTGTTGGTATATAAACAGTAGTACTGTAGTAGTTGTGTTGGTTTATTATTAAGACTCGTTTAAGACATTTGCTTATGTATGTACTGTATGTATATGTGGGAAAAGTAGTGCAGAAACGGCCAACCAATTTCTAGGAACAGTTAATCGCTTCAATAGGTTTCGTGTCCTTCAAATGAGTCTTAGCTAAACTACCTGAGCCTTTCACTAGCAGTGTTAAAGTTAGCATTGTTAACTAGGTTATTTTAATAATATGATAAAATTATAAAGTTTGTTTTACCACAAAATTATTAACAAAGATTGATTGGTCATTAATAATAACTCATTATACAAAATAATTAATTTTATTGATTAATATAAAATACTATAAAATAGTAATTAAAATTTTAACTTYATATTATTATATTCAATATTTTATTTTTTGTTGTTATTAAAAAACAAATACCTGTACTTTAATGTAATACAGGAAAGCAAAACAAATAAAGAGTAAATTTATGTAAAATTCAATTACATATTATTTGTTTGCTTTCCAACATTATATAAATGTTATGCAGTAAAATAAAGATATTATAAAGTATTTYTAATTTWGTTAWTTTTAAKATTTATTTTATATATTAATTATCAAAATACAATTTATATATAATAATTATTCAGAAATATCTATTTATAAYTAAAATATTTAATTAACATTTATATATATTATTAAGTAATATTTAAAAAATCAAATTTGTCTCAAATAAATCATACGATAAATGCTTCGAAAGTGAATTAGGGCTCCGATTGTGACCAATGAATGAAATATTTGGTGCGATTGCGGCCAGAGATCACATTTTCCSGGAAAATACTTTTCGGGTATCCTTAAGGCATAGATTACGGCTCCCAAAACATACACCATTCCCTGTAAGACTACCAGTGACCAGCAGTACATAAACTGTGGTTCYAGTATATAATATAAATGCAAACCGGGCACCACATTGGACAGTCCGAATACCAAAAACACCAGTGCCCGTAACGGTTTATAAACTGGTGTAGCAAACTTTGGGTACAGCGATATGGTCAGTGCAACACAAAACAATGTTGTACCGGCACCGGTATAAATGTAAAACCATTTCATGTACTGAGTATAGAAGCCGTAGTAAAAACACGGTATCATTGAACAGATAATTTGTAACGAAATACCACAAAAGTCTAGCGCGTGAAACACGTGACACACACCCGGTGAATGACATTTGCAAGTGTGATATACGGTTGACAACAAATGACATACCAATGCACCGGTAAAATAGACGCCGAGCATCAGTTTGTCCATTGGTAAGAGTGTGTGTTTGTGTGGACCAATTGCCAACAATGACAATGAGATTATAACAAACACAACAAAACCGACCAAATGTGTCCATATATTACCGGTTTCAGAGTGTATGCGAAATATTGAGCCAAAACATAACCGAAAGGACGGCAACACTGGCCGATGTTGGCCGCGGATGTAATTGTTGTCACGTAAAAACTTGGGCAATGAATCGTACACTACTGTAGTCCAGTGCTGAACGTTAGGATCAACTGTTGGTGATGTCGTTGATGTTTCGTAACTTGATTTTTGTCGATATTTTAAATTATTCATATTTTTTGTTAATTATTTATAACTAAAAAACACGTTATATAAAAAATATATGAAGAAATGATGACGAAAATTATAAAATAAAATTTATTAATTAATTTAAAAATTGATCTAATAATTTAAATGACATTTTAAATTAATTCAAAAATATTAATTTTAAATCATTATATAGTTTGTGAAAAATATTTATATTAATATATGGTTAGTTTACGGATGTTAAATGATAATAAATGTACTCAATTTTATTAATTTAATGACTAATAAATAAAAATTATAAGACATACAGTATTGTCCAGTAAAAAAATATAAACTATTGATATTTGAATATTGTGTAATAAACAAATACAAAATTCATAATCGGATTTTATTAAACATTCAAAACATAACTATTTAAAAATAAAACACTTCCATAATGACCTTGGTAGTATTATTACTTAAAATAGTATATTACAATTAGTGTATTATATGACTGTGAATAAACATATAAATTATATAATATAATGTGTATAAATGTCATAAACAGGTACTTATGAGTACAAAATTCAAAGTCTAGTGATCAATGAAACAATTTTATTTGATAATGTTTTTTAATGCATTTTAATTACTTTAAATATTTTAACAGTATTATAAAACAGTATAAAATAATTAAATGGTGTGACCATTACTTATTTTTGAGATAAATATCATCCAATAACTTTTTAATATGTTTTATTGCAAATTCAAATTGTATGAATAAGACGATTAATCTTATAAAACTCATTAAATAAAGTATGAATCATAAATTGTAATTAAATTTAAATAAATATAGATTAAAATATTAATTAAAAGTTATTCATATCCGCATTAAAATTTATATAACTAATATAAATTTTATGTTTAATATTTATTATAATTTTAATCATTATATAATCATATTATTAAGAAAAATATATACTTTACTTAAATTTTTCGCCAAAGTTATAAACTAACAAATAATAGCGAAAATATCTTATAATTATCTGTAATTAAAATAAAATAATAATTATTTTAAGTATAAATAGTAATTTATATTAATTGAATAGTAAATATACTACAATACCTGATAAAATAGTGTAAATGTTAAGACATGAGCTGTCGGACCTAAAGTTAAACCAATTTTACGTTTAGAGGACAGACGTTCAAAATAAGCCATTAGTTGTAGTTTGAATCGCAACCGAACCGGATATCCATTGATACGCCACTGAAGTCGTGATAATGATAAACACGTGCTGTGGATATCACGCGAGAGACGTGCAAACAAGTATTGAACAATAAATATGACTAACAATGTTAGGAATATAGATAATCCAAACAATATCTTAACATCATAATTTAATGGCATAAATAAAAATTGATGGATTAGTATTAAATTTATAGGTATTAATTGGATAAATACTGTTAAATAAATTTCAGACCAAAATTTGTTTTGTTTGACAAAATTTAAACAAAATATATTGTGATCTCTCATAAATTTGTTTATATTTTTATAATTTATGTAATTATTATTAATTAATTGTGAATTTTTGGTGTTTATTAGTTTAATTATATTTATATTGATTTGCTTAATAAGTAATGTTGAAATTTTATTGAGTAAAAATATACAAATTAAACTAAATGTACTATCATTGCTTAAAGTATACAATGGTATTATTTGTAACAATTGCCAGATAAGTGATGTGCAAAATGTCTTAAATGTATAATATCTAATAATTATTGATATCCATAATAGTGACACTGAAAAATCTGATTTAGAAAAACATAATTAATTTTAATTAATTTTTACTTTAATTATAACTGAATGAATACTTACAAAAATAAGCGCAAGAAATAGTAAAAACATAACAAATAAATTTAGTATATAATATAACTTTTGATAATAGCATCAAACTGTTATCAATGCCTTTAATCAAATTATGACCATGGTCAGTATTATGTCCCCTGATTACATCAATAGATATTCGCCATGTTAGATTTTTTGTAGTCAAATGATAATGCTTAAATAGATTACTGAAAAATATGTCCACCAAAATTATCATTATAACATTGTATTGATAAATTCCACCGATAAAGTTAGCAATGTCAAACAATATTATTTGTATGTTTTCATCATTGTTATAAAATAATAAATATACCGATTTAAAAATTGATGCTAAAAATGTAGCATACACAAAATATTCAATATAAGTATTACGATAATTATAGTCAACTTTTTTGCGAAATTTATTTAAATAATAATCAATCAAAATATAATTAATATGATTATTAGTATCTGGTTTATCCATTATTGTAAATTAATAATGTTATTTAGTTAATTGTATTAAATAGTAATTAACAAGATTTTTACAAGTATATATATATATATATATATATATATATATTTATATTAATTGTTTTAAAATAATACTTATTCTAATAAAGATTATATTTTTGCATATTTTGCATAATATTTAGATTATTAGGAATTATTTTTATCATTAAATATGTAATTATATCTAAATGTATGTAAAAATAACTGTATATATAAATTTATAACATAAATGCAAATGATGAAATAAATTATAATATACAGTTTTAATAATAAATACTATAATAAATAGTGTCTTGATTTCCAACTAAAAAAATTATTTTGTCGGTTCAACGCTTATAACTGGGACTTAATATGTCCACTGAAGTTGACCAGTGGACGCTATTTCCGAAATTTTATTATAACTATAAATAACTATTTGTTGGGTTAGAAACTATAAAAACTTATAAATAACTATTTCAATGATTTTGAAAAATATAAGCATAAAATTGTAAAATTAAGCACAAATATATGTAAAAACAAAAAAGTAATAGTTATATAAATTATATAAAATGTGTAAACTGTTATCAACTCATATTACTTTTTTAACAATAGAAATAATTAGTTTATTTATATAAATAATTTTTGTAAATATACTGAAAACAAGTGAATTATATATGAGTTGAAATATTTATAAGAAAATAAATAACTATTTCAATAWTTATTTGGCTTTTTTGGCAACTATATACAACTATTTAATACAGTTTAAATAACTATTTTAACAACTATTTGACTTTTTTTAGCAAATATTATAACAACTATTTCATAGAGTATAAAAAATTATTAATCAATATACTAATAATAAATAAAATCTAAAGTATTTCAACATATCAAAGTAATTATAATTATGCAATTTTATAAAATAATAATAATAARAGTAATTATGCTATATAAAATTTTAACCATTATAAAAAATATTAATTTATATTTAAAAAAAATAATTGTATTTATAGTAAAATTTTATTTGAAAAACAACGTTTTCGATTATTTTATGGCGTATAGGGGGGATGACAAAAATATAAAAAAATTTTGGGGTATAGGGTGGGTAAACAATATTTATTTTTTTAAACGACAATTGTTGTCTAATTTAAGTAAATTCCCTACAAAATTCCCGTAAATTCCATATAAATTTCATATAAATTTCCTGAATAAAAGAAAATATTCCCAACTTAATTCCTTAATACTCTCAAAATATTTTATTAAACTCAATATTTATTTTAACATAARCTTAAAAAATAATAAATAGTTTTCCATAAAAACATATTAAGGTTAAAAAATATTATGATTTGAAGGTATAATAGTATAATATATATTAAACATTTAGTACACAAAAAATTACAATATTTGTGATATGAATATTGAATTTAAAATTGAAAAATAAAATATTTTTTTATAACTAAAAAATAATTAAATATTTTCATCATTTTCCAGAAAAATTGGGGGAATTATTATTGAATTTTCTCCCTGGTGATCTCAGGGGGGGGGGATGGCATTACTTCCCTACCCACCAGACGCAAACCTTATATCATTAAAAAATATTTTTAATATCATTATAATATTTATAGTTATACTCATTTTTATAATAGTATTAATCATTATTTTTAACATTACTGACAAAATATGAATATTAAATTAAAATTTATATTATAAGTTTACATTTAACTAAATATGTTCAGTATTTATATATTAATAGTTATTAAATAGTTTAATATTAGGAAAACAGGTCACTATTTTATTTAAATGGTAATATTATAATCTACTGTAGTTGTAAAAGTAGATGGGTAATTGTTACTAATGAAATAATTTTTATTGAAAATAATAATATAATTTTATGTATTTAAGTGCGTGAAATAAATTATATATATATTCCAGTATTATTGAATATAATAAATTAAAATATATTTAAGAACTTTAAGTCTAAATTTATGTAAATGTAATTTTTTTATAAATGTTGTGTTATTTTAGTATAATTGGACTGAAATTGATCGATAAGTGCGTTGATGAACATAAATCAACAAAAATTTATGCAATATTATCGAAAAATCTATAGTAAACATCACATTAAAAATCTGTTAGACATTAGTTATTAATAATAGTAATTGAGCTTAAAATAACTTTTTTATTAATATTCAATAATATTTGAATAAATATTTTTATTTAAACTTCAAATTAAAAATACATATTGTATTTTTTATTAATTTTAATATATATATATATATATATAAAACTGTGGATATAAGTCATAACATTAGAAATCACACCAAATATTATATTGAATTTATGGGTTAACTGAAAAATCTGTAAAAATAAATAGATAATGTAATTACAATATTTATTTACAGTATAATAAGTGAAATATAATAAAATACCATTAAAGTATAATAACTAAATTAGTTTCAATAAATATAACAATTCATTTTAGTGAAGCAGAAAGTTTATGAACCAATAAATAATATCGAAAATATTTAATTAATATCTAAATTATAAAAAGTTTATTGAAATTAATATCATACAAATAAATAGTACAACTATTTGGATAAATATTTCTGATAAAACACAAATACCTTGCAAAACAAATTAAATGTCAAAACATGATTAGTCGGTCCAAAGGTTATACCGATTTTACGTTTACTGGACAGTCGTTCAAAGTATGACATCAGTTGTAGTTTGAATCGCATCCGAAACGGGTATCCATT